ACTATAAAGTATTCTAGTATAATTTTATTGTGTACTTATTGCAGTCTGACTCCTTGTCGCCGCTTTTGATATCAGCCTATCCTGCTACCATGTTTCTAGCCTCTGCTCATCACCCTTGTTTGTGAAAACATTCAAAATGACCAGATTGGCTTGGATCTTCAGGGGGACGAATGTTTCGATTGTTGCGAGGAGCCTACATGACGTGGTGGCAGTTCAGAAAATGCCTGAATGAGGTGTCTCTCCTCTGCACTCACTTAGGAGACCACTCAAGCCCCCAATTACCGTATCATTACTCGAGAGTTAGTTAACTTTTAACAGCATTCTAGAATAAAGGCCGCCACATCATGTAGGCACCTCGCAACAATCAAAACATTCGTCTCCCTGTAGGTCCAAACCAATCTGGTCATTTTGAATGTTTTCACGGGGGTGATGGCCACTAGCCTTAGAGCAGAGGCGCCGACAAGGAATCAGACTGCAATAAATGCACAACTAAGTTATACTAGAATAAGTTATACTAGAATACTAAAAAAGTGGTGTTAATTTTAAGTTTGCATTATCAACCTGCAAAGTTCCTGGCAACCTGCAAAATTCCAACCTGCAAAATCCCCAACCTGCAAAATTCCAACCTGCAAAATTCGCAACCTGCAAAATTCCAACCTGCAACCTGCAACCTGCGTTTTGTACCTGCCGTCCTCATATTGCTTTTTTGTGTTGAAATAATCCTTTCATACTGAAATTGATAAATATAAATGGTATTTATTTATATTGTTGACAAAAATTTATGGTGTTTTAGGCATAAAAATCTCTGATTCCTAGGCGAAGTAAAATGAGCCTTGAGCACATGTTTGGTTGTTTGTTACATACATAATAGCCAAGTATTCATACTTATATCTTACTAGTTTGGCTCTTATTATAATTTTAGGTGGTGCCATGTAAATTAAGTCTATAAAAACGTTTTTATTTGCACTGACGAATGTATTGGATCCTGTTCCTATCTGCTGTTCCTGTTTCATAGCCTCAGGGAAGTAGCAGTTCTGATGAGTCTTGAGAACCCCACTCCCCAACCCGGAGGGAAGGTAGGGGGATGAGTAGAGGTAGAGGGAAGCCCAGCCATTAGGACCCAAGGTTTCGAAAGCTCCCTGTCTAGCACCCATAGTACATGAAGGGTATGATGATCCTGATGCTAGGAATATTCTCCCAGATTTTGCCCCTCACTGACATGTCCGGGATCCATTTCGATTAAGCTTTCACCTGAAGTATGAACTGTGAGCTTGACTTGTAATGCATTATAATGAAATATTTCTCAAGCAAAGTGATAAAAAGGTAAAAACAACAAAGACTTTTATATAACCATTAACGTAAAACCAAGACGTTGAGAATGGTTAAGATATTTAACAATAATCAGTTTTAGTCAGCCATTTTGGCAGCATTTCCCCTGAATTTTTAACTCTTCCTTTCTTTGTGCCCAGGAATACATGTAATGCACTTGTCAGCGACTTCTCGGATGAAAATTCAAAAAGAAACAACAACCTCTGCAAAATCCTCTGTAGAGGAAAGCTCAATTTTAATATATAACATTTCATTATTCTTATTAGATAAGCACGGATCTGAAATGAAACTGGCAATGGTTACTTACCAGTGCGACAAGGACGAACACATATTTACCATTAAGTCACATACACACAGCAAAGAAAAGACACCATATACAAAAACCCGAAGCAATTGAAATGAAGGTGGTGGTGGAAAAACTGTGTAAAAGTGTCACAGAAAATTCCAGTGATGGACTGTTCAAAGGGATGCACTGTCTGCTTGGGGACAAGATATGGCTCAAATATACAATATCAAGAAACAACAAAAAAGACATATGTCTGCAGGATCAGATAATATTTGTGCCAATGATCCGTATTTTGCATCCTAGAATGCAAGAGAATGAAGCTAACCCAAAAACTCTTTTGTAAGACATGTAACAGCTGCGTCTGAACCAACAGCTTTACTTGCATTGGGCTCACAGTTGTTGGATATAAAAAAATGATGGTACAAATCCTTCAAAATTTAGTATTTTACAAGTCGATCCAACCTTTGAACTTTGGCCTGGTTCCATGTAACTGCTACTCACCTTGAAAATTTTCATCTTGTGGATTGCAGAAGTGGAAAGCCTCCTGCAATATCTAAACAACCCAAAAGATGAAGAGTTTCAAAACCACAGAGCTTTGAATTTTGAGTTCATGAACGAGAAATTTGTGTTTTATTAATGGTCCAAATATCATTACACAAACCAAAAAAATATATTTACTCTGCTTGGCCAAACATTCTGAATTTTGTTTCCACAATAGCTTAAATATCTTGTGAATTCTTCAGAGTTCGCCACAAATCAATATATATTCCTTGTATTCAAGCACTTTATATCCAAAATTTCATTTGAATACAGCCAGTAGAAATGCTTATTTTGAGATTTTAAAAATATCGGGTTTTTAAGCACACATGTGTGCCACACGCTATTTGCACAAATTGGTGTATTATAAGGAGTACCTGTAGCCTGATGCACATGCAAATCATGCTCCAGATGTAATTTGACTCCAAGCACTAGGATGTAAACACGCGATGTTTTGGCAAATCTAAATCGTATTTCTGGTCAAAAAGTTGTTTTCAAGTGTTTATTGGCTCAATGTTATATTGTTACGCCACGGCGCTTTTTGCTTGACAACCTGCCTAAAGCCTGATTCACAGTTAGTGATTTTGTTGAAGATTTCCTCATCCTGATGGATTCAAACGAGTGGGCTTGCACACAGTTGGTTTTCACAAGTATATGTTTCCATGTCTTTTGCATGTTAGTTATCCAGTGGTCACCCCCTCAGCAGGAGAAATATTTGCTGACAAAAGATTTGCTGATTGAGAACCTGAATTAAGATCACCAATATGAAGATGGTTCCCTTTTTTTTCTTTTTTTTTAAGTTCGCCCAAAACATTACATGAGATAATATAGTGCTATTTAATATTTCCAAATGTGGGCTAGGAGCCTACTAGAAACCATATGGCTTTTATTTTAGGCCCCTAGATTATGAATGAACTAGAAATAAATGCATGCAACAACCCCTTGCATATATATTTCCAAACATTGTTTCAACATGAAGTATTCGTAATTACGCCAACACTGAACCACACTGAACGCAGGCTTGCATTGCCACGTCATGTTAGTCATGGCAACACAATATTGTTTTTTAATTTTTGTACAAACTGGGAACAAATAGATGAAATTTGAACACTTTTAAATACAGAACTATCAATTTCTACCATACATAAAGTAGGTATAATATTTTGGTTTCTATGGGCTTTATTTTAATGCGAAATTCAAAACGAAGCTCTACGTAAAACGTTTTTAAATGTGAATTGAAATTGTTAAACTGCTTTTTGCCAATATATAAAACTCGAGCTTACTTGCACTTTGAAATGAAACAAATTTAATTAATTCGTACAGGACGCTAATGAAAATAATTTGCTTTCCTTTTTATCATGAACTTCTACAAAAGTTAATTTAACTAAGAACCTTTTGCAAACAATGCATAGGAAAGACTTGAACATCAAGAACAAAGTCTATATTATTAAATACAAAGTCATACATAAATAATTGAAACAAACTTGCCCTATACTTTAGGATTTATCATACAATATCTATTCTTATCAATGTTTACGTTTAAAAATTGAAAAAAAGTTGTACAATTTGTTATGTGAAACGATTTTCCAAGCTTTCTTAGGCCATGCTTTTGAACTGTCTTTTTGATAACTTGAAGCTAACTTGAAGTATTAATCTGGAACTACTGTGGGCTCATTCAAAATCCTATCCGCTGACCAAATTCAGCGCTGTTCAAATTTAATATGTTACGAGACATTAAAAAAGTTACTATAAAAGCTTTTATAATTCACGTTTTTAATATTGCGTGTATTTTTCTTACTAAACTGTATGAAAGCTTATTACTTTGGCTACGAAAAAAAATTTTTAAATGGCCCGCTTCCCTGCTTTTTGGCAGAAATCCGGATGAGAAACATAATTTTTTTTAGTTGGCTTTACATGTATTTTTTTATTTTTTTGCCCTCTTCACTCCTGGCAAACAGCCATATTCTGAGATCAGTGGTGACCACCTACTCAACATCGTTGGTGAGCGCCCGCGATGATTGATGAACTTTAGACTCCGCTAATGCTTTTGTTTCCCCGGCTGTAAATAGCCGGGGGGGGGGGGGAGAATTAGTACCCAACAATTAATATAATGTCAGTTCGAATATTTTTTAAAGAAAATACAAAGTCAAAGGATATATTAATAAGATATAAAACTAGTTAGGATGTATATTTACAATACAATTTTGATATTGTATATTATTACAGGAATACGACATGTTGTATATCAATCTAGCTGTGAGAAGTAGTTTTTGATCATTTTTTTGAAGGAATCATAAGACCTTGGTTTTTATATTGTTCAGAAAGATTATTCCATACGTCTATACCTTTATTAGCAAGAGTATGTTTTGCTACGATGGCCGAGAAGGGACTTCCGAGATTCCGAGATTTGACGTTTGTCAGCGGGATCTGGAGTTTTGGAAATAGTTACCTTCTAAAGACAGTGGTGTACAACAACACTGACATTTCGAGATTAATAATATAATATAATATATAAAATACAGTATGATAATAGTAATAAGAATACGGTAAGTGCAAAATAGCAATCTTAATGTACTTAATTAGACCGTAATACAACTTGGTATTAATTGTTATCATGACATGGTAAAGCATGTTAACTAATGCGGGGAACATTGATAGTAAAAAAAATATTATTGGAGATATTAAATTAAGGAACTACATGTGATTAGCCCCAACTCTTTATTGAAGCTAGATTAATCTAAAATATTAAGAACATGCCAATATGTCCAATAAATTGTGCAATAAAAATGTTATGATGAATTTCTCTTTTATTGCAGATATCTCATCTTTTTAGCATTTTTTATGGTACATGGGTGTTTTGGTGTCCTGCCAAACTACACCCCCAGAACTACCACAGGCCAACCCTGCTATGGAAAAAGACGATTTAATAAGACATTTTCAACAAGGTTATTCCAATAATGAAATAGCTGTCTTTCTGGCTCTACATCATGGAATTGTTTTGTGTGTACGCACAATCAAACGAATATTAAAAAGACTAAATTTAAAAAGAGCGAGTAAAAGGAATCATTCATCGGTGGAGTCAATCATACGCGCTATTTTGCGAGAACTGGATAGTTCATCCGGATCATTTTTGGGCTACAGGCTATTAACACAATGCCCGAGACGAAAATACAATTTGAATGTGACTGAAGACATTGTTATGACCTATATTCGTTTTATTGATCCAGTAGGCATTGATCAAAGAAGAACTAGGAGACTGAGGAGACGAAAATACACAAATCCTGGACCAAACTTTCTTTGGCATATAGATGGTTGGGACGAGTTAGCTCCATTTGGATTTTATATTCACGGTGCAATTGATGGTTATTCCAGGCGAATAATGTGGTTGGAGGTTGGCTCCACAAACAAGAATCTGAGATCAATTGCTTGGCATTACTTAGACACTGTTCAACAATTAGGAGGGGTTCCAAGACTAGTAAGAAGCAATAAAGGAACAGAAAATGTCGTAGTTCGTGACTTACAACAACTCTTTAGATGGGATAACGAGGACAATCTAGCAGGGTCAAAAAGTTTTATCCAAGGAAAAAGCAGTAGTAATCAACGTATTGAATCATGGTGGTCTAAGCTTCGGAATGGTGGAGGAGGGTGGTGGATGAATTTTTTTAAAGATCTTTGTGACTCTAAAATCTAGAGTATTTTGGAACAAAAACTATAGTTACGGAAACTATAGTAAATAAAAACTATAGTAATTGTAGGAACTATAGTTTTGCGGGCTATAAACTATAGTTTTGTCAAAAACTTTAGTTTTGACTAAAAACTATAGTTGGAAAAAACTATACTGTCTACTGTATTTTAGTTGAAAAACTATTATAATAGTTTCTTAAAGAAATACTTTAGCATACCATGCATGCATGCAGCACATCACCACCTCGCACATGAAATTTGTTCATCTGATAAATAAACATTATTTTATTAATATAATAAATATAATAAGCTATTTGCATAATAATAAACTATATATAACACTTTTTGTTTGTGGAAACACCACGTAAATTTATTAACTGCAAAGCTTTCGATCTTCTTTCGGTCCAGGCTTATGGATCGAAAGCTTTGCAGCAATAAATTTACGTGGTGTTTCCACAAACAAAAAGTGTTATATATTTTATCGCCATGCAATCATACAAAGAACTTAATAAATATATATTAAATAAATTAACAAATGATACTAAATATAATCAGTTTTTTGAATTAGTAACCATATAAAAACAATGTATGTCAACTAATCTAAGTTTCGTGTTCAATTTATTGCTCTTCTTTCCCTACTCTTTGTTGTCCAGCTTGAATTTTATTGCTTTTATAATGTCTTCTTTGTAAACAGGGCAGCTCATATTGTCGTATTGTTAACACCCATTACACGTTCTGGAAAACAATGGACAAATTTTCATGTAAGTTAACACAGTTTCACATTACAGTGCATCTACAGTAGGTGGGGTAACTATGAGGTCTTAACCTGCAATCAGACCTATAAATAAATACACATGCTTGATACAACCCTTAATTAACAAAAGTCCATGCCGTACAACCTATTTTGGTTGGAAATCTGATTGGTCTATGCGACAACAGATTTTTAATCTGTCATTTGCTTGGTTGGTGCTAATTAGATTATACTATTGTTGTCAATATATGTTATAGTGATCACAAGTATGATTAGATTGTTGTTGTCATTGTGTGAATTATGTGAGTCATGATTTAGTAACAGTTACTATTTTTAGACTTTTAGGGTTAGGATTAGGGTTTGGATTAGGGAAAGGCTTAGGATTAGGGTTATGATTAGGGTTTGGCTTGGAGTAAGGGTTAGGGTTAGGTTTAGGGTTAGGATTGGGGTTAAGTTTAAAATACAAAATTACAAATTCTAAAAATAGTAACTCTTTCTAAAACGTGACAGGTATAGGATATAACTACCCAACATATCTTGTGCAATTACTCCTTGAGTATTAATAGGTGATACTTGGGCAAACAGTCCACAGTCGATAAGTAAAAATGTCTCTCGGGAAACATATATACGTCAGAGTTAAATATCAGAGTACTTAAGGTAGGGAGTGTTAGGGAAAATTGCTTTCCTTTTGCTTCCTAATTATTAAATAATTTTTACGAAACAAAAATGTCACTCCATCCTTTAAAGGCAAACCAAACCATACCATATTAAGGTTTTAGGTTGAGTGGGAGGAGATTTTCAAATGTGTAAAACTTGAATAAGAAGGAAGCAAGAGAAGGGTGATGTGTTTGTTATGGATTTTCCTCCTCAATCTCAGGTTGGGGTCCACCAGAACTCGGTTCCAGCCAGAACCCCGATTTTTCAAAGTTCCTGTTCCGGCCAGAACCTGCACCGGAACTCTGTTATTTTTAGAGAGATAGAATATCAAACGTTTTTGTGTCTAACAAAAGTTCACAGTAGGACGAAATTTGGACTACACAAGGAACATTTTTCAATCTTTTTATTCCATTTGCACACACTCTCCTGGATGACTCGGAGTTTCTGACTGTCTGGCAGCAGACAAAGTAACGTATGACTATATATGGCTTATAAATAAATCAGTTCAGGTTCCAGCCAGAACTTTTTTCCAGTTCCGGCAAGAATTTAAGAAATTGGTTCTGGTGCACCCCTAATCTCAGGACCTAAATCCTATTGAGAATTTATGGGATCATTTGCAATGAGAGAAACTGAAACATGATCTCCACAGTGAAGACAACCTGTGGGATGTCTTTATTAATCAATGCTGGAATAAGATTAAGCCAACAGTACTAGAACACTTGTTGAATCTAAGCCAGGAAGGGTTAAACCTATTTTAAAATCAAACAGGGGTACGTCACACAAAATGTTCACTTGGCTAATATAATATAATACAATATAATCAATTCCAACGTTGATGTAAAATTGTAAATCCTACATTGATGCACATATAGTGCTGTGTTGTGGGAAAATATATTGTATATCAATAAAAGGCAAGAGAATATTGACTTGACTTTTATAACCCCTATGGATATAATATCCAATTTGACATATCTTGTATAATTACTCTTTAGGTACAAATAAGTGATACTTGGGCAAGCAGTCCACACTCGATCAGTAAAATTGTCTTGTGCGAGACATACATCAAAGTTAAATATCAAAATAGTTAAGTACTCAGGTAGTGTTAGGGAAAATTGCATCTAAATATGTCAACATGAAACATGGGCAGTCTAGCGAGACACTTTCCTTGACAAATAAAATTGTCCGGCATTAGAGAAGATAACATTTAACAAACTGCTGAAAATTGGCTCATGGGTATAATTAAAAAAAAATGCTCAACACCCTTGCCGAGGTGTCTGTAAAATATATAAAATGTAGCCCAAAGTTGTTATATATTATTAAGCAGATCATGCAGGTGGTGTAACTAAATATACTCATAAGTTTGAACAAGCAAACTAAGGACTTTAACTATCTCCAGTACACATCCATGAATCAAGTTGCCACACAACACATCATATTGACATTTTAATCTAAGCGGACCCACTTATACAGAGGTTTCACTTAACACTTCCCTGGGGCAAATAAATATCATGACGGGCAAGTAAACGTTTTATCTTGCTTGTCCGATTGACCTAGTTGCCATGCCACAAAAAGCTGCCAGGCATGTTTTCATTGTCAGATACATTTTTTATAGTCCATGTACTTTATTCAAATTTTGTTTTTTTGTGGGCTCATGGGTAAAATAAAAAAAAAACATGCTCAATACCCTTGCCGAGGTGTCTGTAAAATATACAAAATGTAGCCCAAAGTTGTTACATATATTATTAAGCAGATCATGCAGGTGGTGTAACTATATAAATATACTCATAAGTTTGAACAAGCAAACTAAGGACTTTAACTGTCTTCGTGATCAGTACACATCCATGAATCAAGTTGCCACACAACACATCATATTGACGTTTTAATCTAAGCGGACCCACTTATACCTGTAGAGGTTTCACTTAACACTTCCCCAAGGCAAATAAATATCATGATAGGCAAATAAATATCATGATGGGCAAGTAAACGTTTTATCTTGCTTGTCCGATTGAGCTAGTTGCCATGCCACAAAAAGCTGCCAGGCATGTTTTCATTGTCAGATACATTTTGTATAGTGCATGTACTTGATTCAATTTTTTTTTTGTGGGCCAAAGCTAGGATCTGATCGAGGCAGTATAACATATAGCCATATTGATGAATCAACATGTTGTCCAATTTAATTTATATCCTCCAGTGACTTGGGTATCCCAGTGGCCATTGTCCAATGGCAAGTGAATTTTTATATTCAAGGCACTAATTTTCCTGTCCTACTTGCCCCGAGAGTGAGAGCTGGCAAGTGTAATGTTGTAGTTGAACACTTTTATTGATAACCTCTCGTATACATGCACATGCAAAAAAACTAATCAAAACTATAATCTATTGGCGCCAGAAAGTCTTAGTCTCAGACCCCACACGCGGTCCACCTGCGCGCCAAGGCAACAAAACAACAATGAGCTTATTAACTATATTTTATCCCTCCCTTTGTCAGATGATAGTTCCATCTATTAATATAAACATTAACGTGTCCGAGTCACTGTTCCTTTGACTAATGTGCTGTGGACAGTGATATTGTCCGAACTGTCATTTCGTTCACATTGGTTCATAGTTTACATAGTCCGCGAACCTTGCTGGCTGTCCTACGTTTCGTTTCGGTCTTTGTTGAAGTGTTTTTTGTTCTTGGGCGTTTGATGGTCTTGGAACCTTTGGTTCAACTTGCTTGTCATCGTGTTTGGCTGACTTGGTTGAAATCACCTTGAATTGCGAGGAGTTTCGTGTGACAACCTTTGAATCGTTCTTGGCAGTGACCATTGTTCCCTTTTTCTTTTCTACGACAAAAGGTTTAGGGTTGTATGGAGCACTGAATTTGTTTTCCTTCGGCTGTTTCAAAAGGACGGTGTCACCTGGTTTGATGCAACTTTCTCTGGCACCCCGACGGTTGTCTGCACAAGGTTTCATTTGTTCTTTCTTC